TAATTTTTATCGAAGAAAAAGTTCTAAAAAAGTTGTTTAATTAGAAGAGGAAAAAATATTCTGTAGTCTAGTCGAGAATCAAACGAATTGCGATTGACGATAATCTACTATTTTTTTTTCCGTAAATTTGGGTCGTAAAGACGTTAGTACATCCTTGTTAGCGTAGTTGATAATAACATTTTAGAAGATTGAACAGAACGGAACAAATTAATGTCAAAAAAAAAATACGAAGAAATCTAATTGTTCTTGTATGATACATATATAATAAGATCAGATAAAACAAAAACTTTTTTTGCGTCATTGTAATGTACTTTTCGGTTGAATGATGAATGTTTCTAGTTTATACATGGTATTTACGAATCGAATCACTATGTCGGACCTTTGGTAAATAGAATGTAATTCACTATATCAAACATCATTTCATCGCTTAAATAGTTCATTCGTGACTAATAAGACGAACAGCTGGAACTAGCCATCTTTAATATACCAGATAATAATTTTATTAGACAGTAGTGAGAGATGTTATAGACACTTGATCAATTCATTGAACAGGTGCATATATATTAGACTATTCTTTTTTTCTTAAAAAGAAAAATACAGCACAAATTGGGTTCGGGTCGATTCAACTTGATTAGACTTTTGTTCTTTTCGACAGAAAAAAACAAAAAACATGAAACTGATAAATAGATCTGTGTTTCTCAAATCAATAATTTCTTGTTGTTGTTGTTATACACAACCGTGTGTTACCATTTATAAATTCAAAGGGGTGCAATGAAAAGTTATACATGTACAGGGTTGTGCATAACCTTTTGCTAGAGGAATACAGTTCCAACGACAAATGATATAAAAATGACTTATATACCAAATGAAAGCTCATCGAAAACGGGATTATCGAGTATAATTGGTAATCCATAGGTTGATTATGAGCTATAGAATTACGGAAGTTTCTAGCGGGTGCGTCATAATGAATGAGCCTCTTAGTATTTTCTATTTTTCTCGTGTTCCTTTAGGATCCTAAGATTAGTGTTTATTTTAAGAAGATGCGCCACGAAATACTCTACAAAACCATACCTAAACTTTAGTTTTAGAAGTTCAATCAAGAGAACTACGTAAATTATACGAAAGACGGAAACACTGAAAACTTTGTATTTTTGGTATTGTTTTCGACTTGAATTTTTTGCTTCTGCTATCGTTTCCGTAAAAAGTGTAGTAAAAGTGAGCATTCGGTTCTTTTTGCACTTTTGAATATGCTCTTTCTCGTAGTTTGTAAAAAAACGTTTGAAAGCAGATGGTGTGCTGGAGAACGAAGTTTCAAAAATTTCTCCCCGTTTTCAATAATGTGCCCAAGCAAAGGACGGAAAACACGATCGAAGTTTTGATTTCGCATTTAGGTAGTGAAAACCAATCATTCCTGATCAAAACCAAACAAACCCGATGGAAAAAGCTTTTGTTCTAATGAAGTTATGGGACTTTTATACTGAAAGCCATTATGCCATTATACCCAGAATTGACGCATCCTCTAGAAACTTCCATAATTCTATAGCTCATAATCAACCTATGGATTACCAATTATACTCGATAATGCCGTTTTCAATGAGCTTTCATTTGGTATATAAGTCGTTTTTATATCATTTGTCGTTGGAACTGTATTCCTCTAGCAAAAGGTTATGCACAACGCTGTACGCATCAGAAAAACTACATTTTGACAAATTTATTGAAGCCGTTATCGTCGAAATTTTACTTGATCATTTTTTAAAAAATTTTTTTGATTTCGAAATTTTTTTCTGTTAGGTCTGAGTTTCTAAGAGAAAATAAGTTAGCATATTCTTTTGTAACAAGCTAGCCAGTTCTAGGTTTAAACAGCCCTGTCTTCAATATCCGCCTGGCGAGTTTTTCTTGTTAATGCTTCAGTCGAACCTGACATCCTCAAAACCAGTGCTACTGGTTAAATTGTCATTGAAACACGTTCAAATTTGAATACACTGTTAGAAGTACATTTAATAGTAGTGACAGCTGTGATTTTGAACTGTTAGAATAAACAGCCTTACTGGAATTTGACTTTAACTCACTGAGAAAATGATAGCATTTGTCTTTTTTGTAGACTACAATTCAACGTTTTTCTCAACAGTTTGTATCTTTCAATGTACTCTCTAAAATAACGTATTTTCAGAACTACTTAACGAGTTTTCGAAAATGAAACTATATGAAATAGTGATTTATTTCCGAGTTCTCCTAAATTCTCTCGAAAACTCTGAACAAAGCAATTTTGAAAGGATTTGCGAAAAATGCTTACCTACCTTAACGGTTTCATCGAAGGATTTTGCTCCTGTCACTTATCTTCCTGTTGAATGTGAATTCTAATGAAATGGGAGGCATACTGAGGTATTTAACGTCCGAATAAGGGTTGTTTCATTTTGGACTTAATTTTTTGTAAGAGACAAATTGTTTGACACAGTCGCTTCTTGTAGAAAGTACTTCTCCTAGATAATTATCTGGATTGTCTTGATTATTCATCAGACTTCAGCATTTGAAAAAGTAAAAAGAATTAAGACTATTTAAGTTAAATTAGGTTTCCACTGACCAAAATTGGCTTTGTCATAAATGGTTAAAACGAATAGAATAATTTTCACAGTTTGATAATAAACCATATACAGTAGAATTAAGCGTTTACACACAGAAAGGAACTCGCAACAAGTCAAATTTTCTATGCAGAGACAGCTAGATAGTTAATCTGAAATAAAAAGAGAAATATCGGATCAAACAGTTGACCACATATTTCTATTGAGAGAAAAGTTCTGTAGGTTACGTACTAGAATAAGACTTTTTTCCCCTCAAGTTCAAAGTATGAGAAGCTCTTTAGAAGAAACGTAAGTTTTGTCCTAAAAGTACTTAAGGCTAGAAATAAGAAGGAGCAAATTACTTGAGTAATTCTGTTCTATCAATCGTTTTTTCAACAGCAAAGAGCTATACAAAAAAACGAGAAAAGAAAACATAGAAACATCATATATATATATATATATGATATCACGATCTTTAGTGAATGAAGCTGCTCGTATGCTAAATAAAAAAATCTTCTGTATTCTAAGATAAATGAGTACTTAGACTAATCTGGATGAGTTTCCTCTGACTATTTAGCGCAGTCATGTAAAAAATGTTATATCCTTGCGATATACTGCAGTTCTATCTCATGTTAGTTAACTCTAGACAATAAGAATTTACTGTACGCTTGAGATATTGAAAAAAAATCTTCTGTTGCATTCTGTTCTCGAAGAGAAAAAATCAAGTAAAATAAAATATAACATATATATCGGAGAGGAAATGGGGGAGGAGAAAATGGCGAAGAGGGAGGGTGGTCGGAAAATGGCATTGAGGTTGAAAGCTTCTTTTTGAAACGCAAAAGATTCTAAAACCAAAGTGTTCTGGAGAAAAATTTTTGGGTATCGAAGAGGGTATATTAAGATACACTTTCGATTTTCGAAGAAATTTGAAGGTTGAAAAAAGTTTCGGACAATACTATTTCAGTTTCGGAGAATATTCTTCGCTGTTCTCGAGTACGTTCAACTGGGTTTGGTAGAGCAAACATTTTTCTGCAAGATAAGCTATGGCGGAAGCGTTCATGTTTTCTGCTTCTGTTGCAATCGCTTTTCGACAGTAGAGCTCTAAATCGGTTACAACCGATCATGGGACTTTTAAGAAATGTTTTTTTATAAACACCGGATAAAGACGAAGAACCCATTTATAGCTCATCTTGTAGAAAAATGTTTGCGCTACAAGGCTCAGTTGTTAGGAAAAAAATTTTAGAGAATCAATTTTCGTTGAAAAAAGTGTACAATTTCAATCAATTATAACCGGTGCATGCCTAAATATGTTTAAAGTAGTTGCGAGTGTCGCTTAAGAGTGTTTTAGTCGAAATAGATAGATGTATCGTAAGGATGCGTGTATGTATAATCAACATTCTTCTATTGCTATAAGAAAAAACTGAATACATAGGACAGACTGAAAATTGAGGTAAATAAAAATTCTTCTATAAAATTATGATGATTAAAATCGTCATCTCGTGAATAATAATCATATATCCTGATTCTAAACGTGTGTTTTTTTCGCATATAATAGAATCGATTATACAGAAATATGTCAAATTTTATGATGCATCTAATGTTGCCTTTAACTTTTTACTCTCATCTATTTTTCATTCAATAAATGACGCTAAATACACCTGGAATTCATCTAGCAGACAGATACTAATAAATCATCAGCTTTACATCTACTATTGATTTGAATCCAATATGTAGATGTAGACAAATCAATAGTTGTTTATAGAAAAATGTATAAAATATATTATATTATTAATATTGTCACATAATTGATTATAGATAGATAATAACAGATTGTTTTCGATATAAATGTAAAGCAATTAGTGTTTGTTTTACATATGAATTATAGATCACAAGTGTAGTAATAGTCAACAGAATTCCTACGTTAGATAGTTCGTCCAAGAAGAGATATACAATTTTTTGATTGGTTTCTAAAAATTGTTCAAGTTAATTGTTATCAAGGCAATTGAGTATAAAACATGATTGAAAACTGCATTATGTCAAATAAATTTTGCTAATAGACATTTAATTTATGTATAAATGACTTCTCTCATTTTTCGATCTAATATTAAATTTTTGTATGACTATTAGCACACAAACAACATAAGTCATAATAGTAGAGTGCGCAACTGAGATAAAAATGTTTACATCGTGTGTACGTTAAGGGAAAAAAATGATCAATTATACCCACCACAATCGTTTTCTGAGACCTTGAGAAACCAATAAACTTTCTTTTTTACATTTCATACGGTGTCTCGTCAGTTCTTTGTATATCGTAATATACAGAAGAGCAAAACTTTTTACTGTGACTCATAAGTATTTCACATTTTATCTGTTTTTTTTCTTTCATTTTTCAGATTGATAAAAACTTCTGATGTATAAATGATTCATACATAAAAAAGAAAAATGCAGTTAGCTTTAGCATTGTATAACAATGAACGCGATGAAGAAGATGAACTCGAGTTTCGAAAAGGTGAAATATTGAATGTATTAATCGAAAATCCAAACGGACTAGCAGGATGGATGCTCTGTGAAAAAAATGGACAATGTGGAATATGTCCTGGTAATCGTTTACGTTTATTATCAAATATAACAACAACAATGAATAACGATAAAAATAAAATGGATATTATTGTTGAAAAATCATTGTCATCATCATTATCGTCTTCATCTCAAGTAAGTAACATGAATCTCTTATACCATTAATATTCAGAGTTCGACTCTAAGAAAGTGGCTATAGTCTTTTGAAAAACGAAAGAACTTTTTTGTCTAATGACTTGTGGTTAAGTAAGACGTGCACATGATTAAGACAGTTTTATGTGTGATTTTATCTTATATAACTCGCATGATGTATATTTTCACCATTTTGATCTTTCCTATTGTGAGAAAGAAAGTTTATGATTTAATGAAAACCAGTTTTTGTGTGAAAAAAATGAGTAATGATTAAGGTTAAATGGATCATCATCGTAAAAGACGATGATTATTTTTGTCATATCTCTGTTTAGGTGTACAAACATATATTACCATTGATTCAATGTCATTCAGAATACGATAGATTATCAATGCAATATGATTATGACATACCTATCTCAGCTCATGAAAACGATTATGATATTCCAAGAACAGCATCAACAATAACACAATTAAAAAAGGGTGAACCAATTAATTTAGATTCTCCTATAATTCTTCTCTCATCACCCGAATCATCATCACGTTCATCTGGAATTTATTCGACATCAACGAATGATTTACTAACAGATACATCAAAATGTTCATCACAATGTTCATTACGTCACCGATCTAAATCTTCTGACACCTGTATAACAGATACAAGTAAGAACATTTATCGAATATATTCTAATAAATATTCAATATTAAAAGTTTAGCGCTAGTAGACAGACCATTTTTAATTAATTAACTATCAATTGATAGAAGGAATATGTCTCAAATTTTGCTCTAGTGTTTTTTGCTTATAGGGACATATTTTAGTTCAGCAGTAATTATACTATTTATTGTTTAGTAGCTCGACGTTCATCTCAATACCATATTCGTATTTATAATGATAGATACATAGTCTGACATTCTCTTTCTCTCTCTCTCTCTCTTCATTCGAAGTGTCGGCAATTGCAAAATCTGTTTTATCTGGACCTTCAATACATTTTCTTATTCATATATTTATATTTCTGCTCGTTGTGATAATGATAATGTTTTGTAAAACAAATAAGCCACATATGCGCTCTCGCTTGCTCTCTTTCTTTCTGATAATAAAGTGCATATAGCGATTGTATGAATAACTACTGATCTTTTTGTTTATTCTAAATTAAAAAAGATAATTCATCAATACATCTGTATTTATGTCTGTGTAGTGGCGTTCTCTTTAAAAACCAATTGTTTAATCATTAACACACGATAGATACATAATATGGAAAATGTAAAGTAATAATAATTGAACTTTTTTCACGATTCTATAGATTTAAATTATTTTTGTGTTGCTACATACTTTTTTTTTTCTATGCTATGATACACGTTCTACTGTAGAATGAAAAAGAATCGGTGAAATCTTCATTTATTCATGGAAAAAATTTTTGTATGTTATTTTAATGTCGAGACAAGATAGATTTATTATTATTAAAAAAAATCATTAAAAATGATGTAACAGGTTGATGTAACAAAAAAGAAAAAACAAACGAATACCATATATGTCTCGTTATGTCTCAAGTAGATGATACCAGATGTGTTAATGAGCTGATTTTGTTCGATGTGCATGCTTGTGTAAAAATGGAACAGTTTTGATTTAGTCACGTACGATTATGTATGAGCGCCCATATGAAAACCATTTGACTTTAACAATGAAGTGTTACTCAATAAATATATAATTAGTGAAAATTTCATTTTTGTTTGAGTAACTGAGAACAGATGCATGGTCACGCGGCCAAAAAAAGATGTCATTATTTTATGCGTCTTTCAATGAACGATGTTTTGTTACTTTATCTTTTGATATAAGTTTTATTCTTTCAGAATACAAGCAGAAAAATATTTCATTATAGTATTCTAAACTAAAACTATCGAAAAATACAAAATCAATTTTTGTACGAATAAAAATTCGAACTCACGAATTTAACTCATCTGTTTTTTTTTCTGCTTTTAGTTTCACTAGATCAATTGTCTATTCAATTTCATAATTTATCAATTCGTTCAGCATTTCCAGATAAATTTTATCATTTACTCGTCATCTGTGATGAATTAATTCAATCATCTTCAACAAAAATTGATCAATATTCAAAATTAATAAGTGTATCTCTTGATTATTACGAAAATAGTCATCAATTTTTAACCGAATATGGTTCTCTCTTTAATCGTCACACATATAAACAATTAAAAGAAATTCTGATAAAATTTGAACAATTATTATTGCAATTTCAACAAAATTTGAAAGAAAATAATAGTACAATAAATAATGAACTAATTTTACAAACAAAATTATTTTCTACATTATCTAAAAATATGTTTAGTTTAATAAGGCCAACAATTGAATTAAAATTAAAAGAAAAACACGATAGTATATCCATACCAAGAGAAATATTAAAAAAATTAAATTTAAAATCAATTGATACAAATTCCGATGGAGAAGATGAAGATAACAACAAACAACAACTACAATCATTAGTGTCAACGAACAGTATCTATGATACATTTAATAATAGTAAAATAGGTAAGAAAATAACTTGACCTTTACATTCAAATGTATAGATAATTTATGATTTTTATTCAAGATTTATTATCACCAATTGTTAATCGTGAATTAACTAATTCCAAGACGTGTCATACAAGTGTATCATCCGAAAAGTCTTATTGTTCATCTACTAAGAGTACTTCGATCCCTTTAACACCTATCCTCATTAAAACATCTTATGATAGCAAAGATTCAACAGACACGTATGATTATATTGAAGATGATTATTCAATTACACCTAGCGAAATAGATCCTCGACCACAATCATCAAATCTATTAAAATATTATTATCGTCATATTAATGAACAAATTAATTTTATGAAATTACGTTATGATAAATTAATGAAATGTACGAAACGTCACGATGGTTTCACTGATTCATCGTACGATAATTATCTTCATCCTGTTGATCGTAATAAACAACTGATATTAGATGAAGCCAAAAAATTTGTTGTTAGCGGACATAAACTTGTTTTTGTTATTGAAACATTACAACAGTATGTTGCAGCAAATACAAATAATTTATCAAAATTGTTATTGGAACTATGTGATTCATTAACAGACGTTACCATGTTTATTAAACAAATTGTGAATGATGGCGATGATGATCAAAGAATAGTCAATTATAATTTTAAACATAAAGCACAACAAGCAATGAATATAGCCATTAAAATTAAACAATATGTCAATAAAACTTGATATCCACAAAATGAGAATATGCAAGATACATTTACTTTTAGATAAAACTCATTTGCTATGCCGATGTGATGATTATGAGACTGTACAAACATGTAATGAGAATTAGAATCAAATGTTTATTAATAATTAGTACTATGCTTCCTTGAGATAAGATGAAGTCAGTCTATTACAAATTATGCAGAGAATCGACATTTATTATTTTTTTCTTTATGTTCACGAATAAAAATCTCAGTCTGTTTCATTTGTTTTGCTTTTTACTAGTCATTTTGAATGAGATAACAAATAATTTTAATAGAACAGGTTATTTGTGTGTGTGTGTGTGTGTGTATTTTTTATGTCCTTTCCTCTCTTAATTTAATAACATGTTTTGCTTGTTCACAATCTAATGTTGTATATAATTCTATGATTTTTATTTATCAGATATGTGGTTTTGTTTTGATGAAATGATTAGAGAAAAAGAAAATATAGTGTGAGAAAACAAAAATGATCAATCTTTCCGCTTTGCACTAACACTACACCGTAAATCTGAAAAGGTTCTAAAACAAAACGTCTTCCAAACTACTATGAATATTCAAAGATAGTTGAGTATATCTGAAGCTACAAGCTCAAAGTTTTTCACATTTTTCATACATCAATTCAACTAGTCAAGGTTCTGAGGGATTTACTGATGGATAGGCATCAAGTAACCATCGTATACCATGTTATGTGATTCGATGATTGTTTCAGATTACTTGCTTCGTTAAAGTGCAGGACTTTAAAATCTGATTCTCTACCATTAGCACATCTTTCAAACTGTTCTTAGTCTTCCCGTACGAAGATTAATTACAAACTATATACAGAGTGAAATGCGTTCAAATATAATATTCTCTTAAAATATGTCTGAGCATGGTTTTTGTTGACAAAAGAGATCTATTCACATATTTGAGATATATATACAAGTAAAAGAGAAAACGTGACACAAACACATGTTAAAATAATCATGATTATGGTCTACTATTTCTATCACATTCTAATTGACACTCTCGTACGAGTACCCGAGCAGATGCAATAGCTCGTCGTAAACGTTCAGCTGAATTTTTATTTCCCGCATATGTTGGTTTAATATCTTTACCCATTTCTTCAATAACATTTAATAATTGAGCGTATTTACTTTGAGATAAAACGCGAGTTGATGTTGGTGTAGAATATTGTTGTTGTTGCTGAGATTGTTGTTTTGGTGGTGGTGGTGGCGGTGGTGGTAGTGGAGGAGCTAATGGTTGACCAATTCCAATTGAAACTGTCGGCAAATTTCTACCAGCAGCCATTGGATTTAATATTGGACGAGTTTGTGGTTGTGATTGAGAATGATGTGGTTGTTTTTGACTGCGCATACTTAAATCCATTGTTAAATCCATTGTTTCCACTTGGTCCATACAGGAATATATTTTAAACAAAAACAATATCTACAGTAAAATGAAACATTTAACAGTGAAAAATAATTAGGGAGGCAGTAAATGCTCATCGAATGGACAAAAAAATGTAGATGTTGACCAAGAAAAGAGACCGAATAATCTTACTTAAATTAAACTGTTTCAATATAACTATTCCAATTGCTCTTTTAACAGAGACTCTACGCTAAAATTGATCAATATTAGGCAAACAAGCTTTCAAGCCGCTTATATTCCTCTCAAATGTCGTTTGTTTCGCTAATCGAGTTCACGCTGAGCTTTAATGTATCGTCTTCAGTATACACTAGAGTCTGACAACAGAAAAACAACATGTCAGAAGATAAAAGAGACCGATTTAATTGTAAATAAGAAGAATAAAAGTACAAATTATTGAAAAAAAACCAAAAATGGACACATTTATATTTGATAAAAAAAACAGAACAGTTTGAAAAATAGATACGAATTTTTTTCAATAAAAACAGTATTACACTTGAAATTGTATTTGTAAAAAATATTCTGACATTTTTAGGACATTCTGAGTTTATATGACAACGATGTTTTACAAAAAATGTTGGCGATTCAAACTTGTTGATATCGTATTTTGTCGAACTTTGGTCGATGTCGTTAATGAACGTGATGGAGGCAGTCGACTTGGCTTTGCCAAAGATTGTTCTGGTAATGTAATAGAATTGATGTCTAATTCTAACATTTGTAGTTGACATTGTAAATTTAAAAGAGATTCCATATCTTCTTTGGCGTAGAAACTTTCCATCTGAAATCAAAAGGAATTTAAAATAATGACAGATCGATCGACAATAATCGTCTTAAGGCAAGTTTCAGACAGACACGCTGTAATCATCTAGCTCTTATATATCGTTTCATCTGTTTAACCCTTTGGTGACGGGGCCCGTATATATACGGGCAGTACATAAAATCTTCGTTACTTCACTTATTTTGCACCTTTCTCACTTCCCATATATTTTCTAGCAAAAATAATAATATATTTGAGATCAGCAGACAAAACTGGGTCGAACAGCATACTTAAAACTCGGTTTTCAGTCAAAACAATTGCATTTGAAAATTTTCGGGCTAGGTTAGAGGTGAGTGTGTAATCCTTCTTACAAAAGTTTCATCAACGTTTTTTCGAACCATAGACTTTCATGATTATTTTTTCATGATTACCATGTACATGGATTGCAAATTCTAGTAGAAAGTGCGACCCTTAGTTCATCACCGCCGCCCTTCTACGTATGTTTCAATCGTGAGTACTCGTCCTTAATGAATTTCTAGAACCACACAATAGTTAACCTTCATACTGTGGCTAGATAATCTACAGACACTGTAGAGTCTTTGATACGAATTTGAAGCCAAAATGATGCTCTTAGACTGAGTTGTGAATTTCTTTTCGCAAAGAACCTAGAATTTTCAACAAAAAAAGCTAACCTCTTCCGTAAAATAGCTATATTTCACTGACTCCTAACAACCAACTCACAAAATTCATATCGTAGATAGAGTAGAGTGTGGCTGCATTTTTGTAAAAAGAAACAGCTTTCATCTCTCTTAGATCAGGAGCTATTGACATTTTACGGAAAAGAAAGAAATTGCTTATATCTCATGAACCAGCCAGTAAAAGAGGTGCAAACTTGGTGGGTGATCAGCATTTGGTAAGAGCTATGATCACACAAAATTAGAAGTACTTAGCTATCATGGCTCTTGAGTTACAGAGGCGTCGCTACTATTGCGCGATTATTTTTTGAAAAAATAATCCCGTCCTCAAAGGGTTAACAAGACTAAGGTCGTTATACACATACATGTCTATTTAATAAAATATTAAATCCATCGCTCCAACAGTACATATCATACTCATTTTCAGCATATAATGTATAATTAATATCATTTTGAGTAAATATTGTAATTGTAACATGAGAATTACTCTAGGAAAAGAAACGATAGTAAATAAAACCGAGCTCCTGACATCTCTTATTATGCAGACAATTACATGTCTATTCATTTTTGCTGTTCGATCATGTGTATTATTTTGATCCATATTACACTGCACAACTCTGATATTTTCAATCAAAACTAAAACAAATAAAATAAAAGATAGATAATACATAACATTATGAGAAGTGAACGATGTACTTGTTGTTCTCGTTAGAGTACCATTTATTGTAGTATTACCATCACGTGAACCTTTCGTCAACGTTCCTCCTGCTTCACTACACTGAACACCTTTTTCATTTTTCAAGAGTTGCCAATACATTAAACGATCTAAAAAGAATAAAACAATTGATAAATTTTCCTCTAAATCACTTTTCATTTTCGTCATTTATACTTTTGATTTTTTTCACTCCCGTACGATTTTCATATGTCATGAAAATTTGTCCTTTTTTCATTATTTTTAATCGATTTTGACGTGTTAATAATTCAATATGTGGTCGTAAATGTTCTTTCAACGTTCTTCAATCAACAATAGTAAATAAGTATTATAATTACAATGATAAGAATATCTTACTCAACAACAGGTAATTTCATTAGGACTTTTTCACATTGTAATTCGTTTTCGTCAAAACGTTTTGATATTTCTTTGTAATTAAAAAAATTTAATCGATCACAAAAGAATTCAAATGTAAAACGTTGAGCTGTAATCGATGGAATTGTGGATAATGATGAAATATACATGGTTGGCGACGTGGGAGATAGTGGAGGAGATGATAAGACCATTGCTGGAAAATAGGATGGTAATACTTTTTTGATAGCACTAATATTTCTTTGCTCATTCACATTGAGTGTAACATCCGATAAACTATTGAATATTTGTTCTTTTATAATAGGTACAACCTCAAAAAAACAAATAAAACAACAAGAAGAACAGTTTCTACTGTGTTAAAACAAAAACTTGTTTCTTCCTTGCTCCAGACCAACTTTTTTGATTAATTACTTTTCAAAAACATCGTTTACATAGCCTATTTTCGAGCAACACATTGAACGGTCATTTGTCAAGGTATGAGAAAATAAGAGCTACGGTTTTTCTACGTGCAAAAAAGCAAGTCTGAGAACTTCATAATGTCAGATCGAGGATTGCACTATTTCAACAGTATACTTACTATATCAAAGTCTGATTGTTTTGCTCTCATTTCTTTCCATGTTTTATTGAATAATAATGTACATTTAACAAAACATTGTTCAAAAAATATTGGTATTGTATAGAACAGAAGAAAATAATCTTCAATTGTTTGATCTTCAGCAGCTAAATAAAACAAAAACAACAGAGATGAGAAGAAAAAAATGATTACACTAGGTACATACGATCAACGCCAATACGAAATAATTCACATAGAATTTTTGTTACAACAACTGCTGATCGAATTAATGGACATTGATTTTCGACTGTTTTACAAGAATTTTCCAGAACAAACTAAAATAAAGAAATTTAATCTAACGAAAATATACTTAATAATGACAAACTTACTCGAATAAAATCATTCTTTTGACTAGTACAAAAATAATTAAGATTCTCTAATGATAGTATACCTGGTGGAACAACTTGAAAATCTTTAATGGGTTCTTTCAAGTTCTTAAAATAAATAATATAGACAAAAATTAGTAAAATGTAATAAGAAGAAAAATAAAAGATTTTACCTGAAAACCTAGTCTTTCGTAATTTCGTTGAAGAGCTTCAGATCGTCGAACATTATCGGTATTATTATTATTGTTACCATTGTTATTTAGATCATGCTGCTGATTTGGACTAGTAGTGCAGTGAGCTGTGGTTGAATCATTATCAAATGCACATCTCTGAATTTTATTTATCATTTCAACAGATTTCTAAAGGAATAGAAAAAAATATATTCTAACTGGCATGTATTGAACAGAATTTTTATTGGATATATTTAAAACAGAAAGTTTTCTCTTACTCCATCATATCGATTTGACGCTTTTGTCATGGAGTTTGAATATATTTCGTTTAAACAGTAACGCTGTAATCGACACAGTTCTTGTGATAAAGGACGAATAAAATTGGACGATAACGACATTTTCTATAACAAAAACAGTAATTGTGCAAATTTTGAAATAGATTTTGCATTTTCTCTGTTATGATTTGTATTTTTAGATTTATCTAATAAATAACTCAAATTTTTTTATAAGAGCTACTTTACCTTAATTGATTGAATCATTAATTCCAATCCTGGAGAAACTTCGTCATTGTTGATATTCTAGAAAAAAACAAAAATAGATTATAGAATCAAAAAGCATATTTCTATGCGTGTATATTTTCTTTCTCACATAACTAACGATCATTTCGACTAATTCTTTAAAAGAATTACATAATACTGAATTTGACATAAGTTTAACGACAGACTAAAAACAAACAATAAAAGAACACCAATGATTAATCAGCTGCACAAGCAAAACTTACACTACGCATAGATTGATCTCCTTTTGACATGAGCAGATTAATTAAACTTAATGCATAATATTGAGTTTCAGTATCATACAATCTACATGAAAAAATTTAGTTTACTTATTATTTGTAATATGATGAAAAGAATAAAAAAAACATACTTTCCACAATATTCAAACAATGATTTTACTTGTAGTTCTTGTAAAGCACGTTCAGTATGATAAGAACTTGATGTTAAAAAGAATATTGATGTTAAAAAAGATATAATTTGAAATATTTTTTTTTCTTATGTTCTTACCGACTAGCAATAATTGAATGTAAAATCATTATCGATGGACATATGATAGATGAATGCAAACAAACTGGTCCATTTATCAATGGAATTAACTATAAACAAATATAAAGACTTAAATATACAAAATTATACTTCAGAAAGAAGAGATGATCAATACATTATCTCACGAAAAAATATTGTTTACTTTATCTAGGATATTTTGTACATAATCAATTTTATCCCAATTGACTGGATGTTGATTTGTCATTATTTGATAAATTGATCGTAATAAATCGGGCGTATAAGAAAAAAATTCGTCACTAAAACAAATATAGATTAGTTGACGAGATGTATGAAGCGAAATAATATTCCAGGTGTAAACCTGTTCTTCATTTCATTCATCAATTGTATCAATAAATTTAATCCATTTCGTTGAACTAGAATAGTAAAAAAATATAGGGATGAGAGACTAATGTTTCTCTATATAAGTTAGAAAAAAAAATCTGAGCTGCAGCCAAGGTCTGGGTAAATGAAAAAAAAAAACTTACTAAAATCGATGACAAATGTTGCATCGACGGATGCTAATTTTAAACGATCCATTGCTTTTGAACGTTGGTTTTGATCTGGAGAGAATAATAATTTCATGATGTCTTGAACTTCATAAGTCTAAAAATCAACACGTTCATTTTATTTAAAATTTCTCACAAAAAACAAATTTAGCGATAATGGGCACAAGACAGACTTCTTTGTTGAGATAAAAAAATAAGTGGATGAGAATTTCTACTTTTCCACATTTTAATTGTTTATTAATTGTAAACTAATAACTCAGCCGTTAAAATCATTTGTCTGTCTTTAATAAGTAGTTGAGATTCCATTTCAGCTGTTTGAAGTAGACTTACATAAGAATACGACAGATAAAAAACTTGTCCAGTTGGTATCAAGTGTCGATTCTGAAAAACGAAAACATTTGGTAATTGAATAAAATCAGTAGTAATTGGCTTGATTTACTTGTTCTGTGACAAATTTATGTGAGTCATCGAATCTTAATGAATAATGATCTGGTTCAGCGACACCCCATCTAAAAACAAAAACCATAATTCATGAAATAGTGTTCTTTCCACCTCTTTCTCTCTGTACTATACATACTCTAAGCAAATATTGTTGACATAGGTACTCAATGGAATATTCTTAAAAAGAAAAAGACAACGATAAAATCCTTTTTCTTGTGTGAAAAGCCATACTCACTTGATCGAGTTCAAGTAGTTTCGGTAATCTAGGACTGGCTGAATGTTTTCCATGTGAATCTTTCCAATGAACTCCTATTTTTATTTTCGTATTATCGAGCTTTGTCGAAGAGAGTGGATTAGTCATTCAAATCTTAAAGATAGAGAACCAGTTGTCAGCAGTATATCGAGATATTAGTCAACGAATGGTTTAAAGTGGAACAATATTTGCGAATTTCAACAAAGGAAGATAAAATCAGTCATCGATAATGTGTGTTTGCAATCATGAGTAACATGTTCAATAGAAGAAAAGTTTTGTTGATCAGTTAGACGATGAAGAATTCATTGACAAATGCTCAGTGGGATAGTCAGTGTTTCTAATAGCAAAGCGTACTCTAAGTACATTGTTAAGTACTCACTGTATCAGAGCGTACATACACTTCGGAATTTAAAGATACGCTCTGTTTTATGCTTTGCTGAGAAAAGCAGAGCGTGTAGTGTACGCTTTGCTATCGTAAACAGCGATAGCAATGCTATTGTTTACGCTTTGTTTTTTAATAGAACTTTTTTTATGTTTAAGAGAAAATAAGAAAAACTTTTTAACTAGTGAGTCATTCTGCTGTTTAGAACACATAAAAGACAGGAGAGCGGATGAATTTACCTGTTTATAATTTTCCTCTAATTCCTGATGCCTAATTGAGAGAAAACACAGAGCGTACACATACGCTTTAGTTCGTAGGAATATTTATTCACGAAAGTGAGAGTCATCAGAGATCCTCGATCTGTAATAACAATGACTCACGCCATTAAAAGAGTAACGACAATTTGACTAAATAAAACTAGAGTAATGGACAGAGACAAATCAAGTAAACATATGAAAACAACGAAAAGAAAAAGAAAAAGAAAAACTAGCATGGGTTGACTAGAAACATTGCTGTATTTTACTGCAAGAGATGTTGAGACAGAGCTCTTTAGATGATGATAAAGAAGAAATACAAATTACTGATTCTAGTAATTTATTCCAGTCAGTGGTAGTCCTATAAAGAAAGGAGGAGAAAACTGTTTGTGAAGAAAGATCGTCAACAAGAGGTGGAATGCGAACACGTTTAGAGTAATAAAGACGTAAAGAAGCGTAGTGACGATAATGAACAGGATAAAAAAGGAGGACTAAGATGATGGTAAATTCTAAAATACTGAACAAGTCTAAAATATTTACGACGAAGAAAGAGGATTGGAAGAGAAAGTTGTGATACAAATAAACTAGAAAAACGATAATCAAAATTACGAGAAAACAACATGAGAAGCAACCCATATCGCGCATTTGTTGAGAATACCGCCGGTTCAACGAAATACCACCGGTTGAACCGAATCGCTCGGTATACTCTGCGGTATAGCGACGATTTTTTCTTCTACCGACGGTAGTTTTCAGACCGCAGTACAAGAAAAAACCGTTTTGACACAATCACCTTTTTGTTTTGTGGTTGTCAGTCTATATAAGAAATGCAGAAAAGTCAAAAAACTTTGATTTTCTTCAGATTAAACTTTCTCTTTCAGATTATAGAGACTCGTCGAAGTTTGCACTTTGACTTGAGTCAAGTTTTTCCCGTTTGGAAATCTTATTGCGCTGTATGCGCACGGCAAAAAAAAGAAAGCTGAGAACTAGATTCGAACTCCTGTACTGTTTGCTCGCACTGATAAAATACCGGTTGATACTGCCGGTACAACCGACCGGTAGACCGTGCGGTAGTTTCACATGTCCATTAGGTTAACCTCCCATCGATCGATCGATTGTTTTATTCACGAAAAGTGAGAAAGCCATCAAAGGTCACTGACCTGTAATAAATGACTCAAGCCAAACAACACAAACAGAGTAATAAAAAAGAACAAAATAAATAAGACAACTAAGGTTAGAACCAGAAATAGTAGAAAAAAGAACAAATTTTTGGAAAAAAATAAAAAGAAGCAAAAAAAGAACAGATATAAATTCTTAACTGACAAATGTTTCACTGGAAGAGATCCTGACATAAATCTATTTTGAAAGAGGTTAAAGAAGAAAGACAAATAACTGACTCCGGGAGATTATTCCAGTCAGCAATAGTTGAATAAAAAAAAGAACACAAATTATTTATTTTATTTCGAATCACTCGAGAGTCATCAAAGGTCCATGACCTGTAATATCGATAACTCAGACCAGAATAAAAAGAGATAGGGAAAAAAAATAAAATAAAGAAAATAAATAAATAAAACTAAAGATAATAACAGAAATAAACAAAAGAAAAGAAAAAGAAACTAGAATATGCAACGAGTATATAAAAGTAACAATAAAAGATAGACACAAATAAAATAACTAGAGCAACAACCAATATCAGTTAATTATGAGTAGGAACACGGCTGATATTTTTCAGTAAGAGATATTGAACTAATGCCTTTTTGAAAGACGCTAATGAAGAAAAACAAATAACTGACTCGGGAAGTTTATTCCAGTCAGTAATAGTTGAATAGTAAAAAGAAGAGAAAACTGTTTGAGAAGAAAAACCATTGACAGAGATTGGAATGCGAACATATTTAGAATGATGACAGCGTAAGGAAGAGTAATGAGGACGATGAATAGAGTAAAAGACAGAAAGAGGACTAAGACGAAGATAAATTTTGAAAAACTGCACTAGTCGAAAATATTTACGGCGAAGAGAGAGATTTGGAAGAGAAAATTGTGACACAAGTAAAGAGCTAGAAAAGCGATAGTCAAAGTTACGAGAAATAACACAAGAAGCAAGATTATTTACAGAATCGAGTACTGAAAGCGAAAAGGAACTATCGTATAAGGCACAACAGTAATCAAGTTTAGGAAGAATAGAAGAAAGATAGATTATACTCGGCGGTGACTGCTGCGGTAACTGGCGGTATTTTAGCGGTTCTGATGACATGGGTCACTGTTCTGACTAAGACTGTTTTATTCACGAAATACACCAGGAGGGTGTTTCATAAAAATTCGTAAGTGATCGACTTAACTAAGTCTAGACTTAAGTCTTCGTTCTACTTAAGTTTGCCTTAAGTCTAGACTTAGTTAAGTCGATCACTTACGAATTTTTATGAAACACCCTTTAGTAACTATTATTACTATTTGTTTTATTGTCTATCTATTTATCATTAATAATTAATCATGATTAATTAATTAGCAGATTATGAAAATAAAAACAGCAGCCACTTCGCATTTGTCCAGTTGATCGTCAAATCGATATCGCAATTTTTCTGAATGAGTTAGAAACACGATTTTGCTTTACAAAAGATTAACTGAATAGCGATACATGAGACGTTTAATATAAATTTCTATCATTTCAAGAAAATCTAATTCGAAGAGGCAATACTCATATATCTGATTCGAAGATCGGCTTTACGAATAGAAATTGACTCATCAGCAGTTTAAAAAAAAAGCGTAAACTGTCCGAAAATGTTACGTTAAACGCGTTACAGTGTCATGCTACATAAGTGTGAATGTCAACATGTCACCGTAACATTTTGGAACAGTATATCTAACTGCATAGTACTTAATTTAATTATAATCGAGTTAGTTTTTCTACGATAGTTAAAATAGTTTAACACTAGTATCTACTACTGCTCTGAGATTTTTATTCGATCGAAATCTACTCTTTTTGATGATAACTTTTTTAATTAAAGTTTTAGAGTACACGAGCCAACGCATATTGACCTCTATCTTTAATTTCTTTAGTTTCTAGAACCTTTAATCTCTTTCTGATTAAAAATAACGAACTTAGTCGCTCTTTTATGGACATAATGAAGACATTCATCCATTTTAACTGAATGGTTTTACTCTCTAAAAAGTCCTATTTTATCGTTAAAAAAATGTTTATCTATTTTCTAACAATACTTGCTACTACTGCCGATACAGAAATTGTCTAACACGTCCAGATCGTAGTCCATTTTTTAGATCGGCATATATTGGCATGTTTGCCGATTTTTTGGCTTGCCGTTAATTTTTTAGTTCTTGCATGCCATGCCGCAGACATTCTTTTTTATTTTAATTTAGGCTACAGTGAAGTTCTTGATGTTCTAGATGCTGATGCCCAGGAAGATTTTATTGACTATAATTTTCTATCGTGCACTGTGTTGGTTTCTAATCCGTACATATTTCATAGCAGATGAATACTGGCAATCGGTAGAAGTGGGTCATTTTCTTACATACTCTTATGGTTATTTGACATGGGAATGGCGTCCATCCGTAGCCATTCGTAGTTATTTGTATCCACTAATTATCTCGTTCTTGTACAAATTATTAAATCTATTTCATTTGGATTTTGCTCAATGTCTCATCAATATTCCAACATTATTTTTGACAATTTTACAAATATTTAGCGATTATTCATATTATAAACTGCTACGAAAACATTTCAAATTCTCATCAAATCTCATTTATTTAACATTCCTATGCCGTTTTACATGTTGGTATACAATTTATTCATCATCTCGAACAATTGTGAACAATTTAGAAGAAATATTTCTTATCCTTAGGTAAACAAAAAACACAAAAATTTTTTTTTTGACGTTTAGCTGAAATAGAAATGTAGTCTTATTCGTTCAGTTAAACACCATACTCTTCGCTTATCCATAACGATTCTTATTTTACTCTTTTTGTTTTTAGTTTATCAAACATCTCAACCATTTATTTCCATTTATTTTTTTCATTATCATTCATCATTCGTTCAACATCTGTTATTCCATATATTCTCATTTATCCGTATTTATTATTTTATCAAACAAACAATAGAATACGTTTTATCATTCATGCTGCATTATGTTTTATATCATTAAATCTATTTAATTTTTTATTAGATAGTTTTATGTATGAACAATTTACTTATGTACCATTGAATTTTTTTAAAATAAATATTCTACATTCCAATTCAATATCATCTCATTATGGAATAAATGGATTGATGTGGTATTTAACAAATGGATTACCAATGATCTTTTTATATCGTATACCATTATTATTTGTTTGTTTATTCGGCAAATGTAAACCAAATTACATCTATAGAATGCATTTATCAATTGTTTGTTTATTTACAATTAGTTTCTACAGTTTAAATATACATAAAGAATTTCGATTTTTAACACAGTTATTACCATTACTATTTATTCTAGAAGCATATGGTCTTGATTACTGTGTAACAAGAAAAATGAACAAACAATGGATGAATGAACTACTCATAAAAGGTAAGATTTGGTCATGAAATATTTTATACTTGTTGAACTCTTCATATATTGAACGTTTCAATTGATTTGTTGACATTTTTAAAATATTTTTCAATATTGTTTCCTTAGGTATTTATTTGTCATTTATATTTCATTTATTGATTGGTATCTATTTTTCATGTTATGATCGTCGTGGTCAAATTGATGTCTTACATTGGCTTAGAAAGAATGTCAAATCAGATAGTACTGTTGAATTTTTAATGCCTTGTCATTCAACTCCATATTATTCTTATTTACATCGTCAAGATGTTAATTTAAAATTTTTAACATGTGAACCAAATTTATCCTTATCAAATAAGAATAATTCTTATATCGATGAAGCCGATCAGTTTTATGCTAGACCAATTCAATCAATGGAAAATAAATTAAGACAAAATAGAGATTACAAAAATTATTATTTGATTATGTTCGAAACATTGTTTAAAATTGTTGAAACCACATTGGTAGAAAATAATTTTATAGTAGTCAAACAATTGTTTAATTCTCATATTCAACATACATTAAGACATGGAAAAATGATTTATGTTTTAACAAAACAGTAACTACATCGATTAAGTTCGTGAAATGAGAGAAAATTAACAATATAACCAATGTAGTTTTAAGAAAGATTTTCAACAGATTAGATGAAATTTACTGCACTGTTATAAAATACTGAACAATAAGAAGTCTTTAGTTCTAATTCGATTGAAAACTCGGTCAGATATACTGTGGATTGAATTGTGTGTTTTGAATATTATCGCATTTCAATGGACATAATATAAAAGTAGCATATCTTGGAATCATTTAACGATTTTTGGACAAATTTTCCATATCGTATGTTTAGTAGACTCGAATCTAAGTTCAATAATTATTAAGAAAAAGTGGTATAATACAAACGCTGTTCGACCAGACGGCCCCCATGTGGTCAGAATAAAAGGGGCATCTTTAGATATGAAAAAGTATTTTTACATCAACGCTATTTCCGACTAAATCGAAAAAAACTTTCTTGTATCAGAAAAGAGATCGTTTCTCGATCGTACTGTTCTCGCCTACACAGTCCTTGTTGGCTGCGCCACTAGGATAGAGTCTTCAAAGTAATATTCATTTTAAGGCAATTGTAGATATTGTCCGTCGAACGTCTCTTTTATTAGAGACGCTCTAATTTGGAGAAACAAGATATCTTTTATTTAATAGCTAGCACGACTGTATTGAATATTCAATAACTTTTTTGTGTGAACTATGACAGTTATGATTTATTATGTGAATTACACTTTGATTGGTATATTCTGCTCATCCACGCTATACCGATTGTCATCTCTGAGGAATACATGAATGAAATAATCATAATAAATAAGGCAGAATGTAATGCGCTATCCACAAATTGCAAATGTAAATATAACATTTTTCTGATATACGATGTTAAATCGCTCACTATTGTATGACTCAGATGAGAGTATTTGTTACATGCACAAATTGGTGAATCATTCATGATAAACAGCTGTTCGTTACTTCCGGTGAATCAGTATATAAAAGAAAAGAAGTTAAGAGAAAGAAAATATGGAACTTAGACGTACATTTTCTGGAACGTTGATGACAGGTAGAGCTATCGGCGAATCAGATAATTTGTTGAGAAAAATGTCGAATCGGTTGAAAA